AAACTCTATTGATGCAAAAACTCTATTAACACATGCCATGCAAAAGCATAATTAATTGTGTAATTATAGGACATGGAGTATTTGAGCTCGAGCTCAAATGACCCTACAAGAACAGTAATATCAGGAAAAAATTAAGAAATATTCAAAAAATTCTGATGAACTTTGACAAATTTTCATCCTGAGATCACATTTGAGGAAGGCGTGACGAAAAAACAAAAACGATGCTCTAAAATGCTACTTTGAAAGCATTTTTAGCACTGATTTTTTCTTTGTTAAAATGACCGGTAATACAGATTAATTAGCAATTGGCTCTACCTTCCTTTTCTTAGGCATGGTTAATTTGTTCTTAGGAACTCTCTACTCTTTAACCGTTAGCAACAGACAAAATGCCGATCCTCAAAGGAAAAAGAACAGAGCAATACTATTTCTACGTACAGGGTCTACAAAAAGAAATTACGTACTAGTTCATCCGGTGGCGGTTAGCTAGAATCAGGGAAGTAGTTACTGCTCGAAATGCACTAGTGCATACAGATTTCATAGAAGCTTCACGTAAGAATAGGATTTTCCTTAGGAACACGCCGTTTGCGCGCCGGACCGCGGCTGAGGACAATTGTTATGTCCCGTCATACGAGACTGCACGATGGACCGTCCACCCAGCCTTATATTACACGGAGCCGTCGCCATATGACACTGTTGAACAGGGCATATCCGTTTCTCTCTGTACGATCTCATTCAATACACTGTTGAACTTGTCGCTGTCCGATTGGTACCTGTACCGGGAGCAGGCGAGTTCGAGCATGCCATCGCCGCTCTCGAAGTGATCCTTGCTTCAATGGAGTGTAGCCCTATAATGCTACCAGTACCAATAGGTACTTTCAAACTACTCAACGAGTTTGCGAAGCCAACGGTGCAGTGGAGCGAGGCTGCCAATCCTGGCTGGCGTTGAGTTCTTTCACAGGAGAAGGTTGGGGGCCTCCTGGCACAGCAGAGTGGAGACGGCTGAACATCGCTGACGCCGAGCTTGGAAGAAGATGGTAGAGAGATCGTTGTCTGTTCGACCTGATTGTGCTTTTGTTCATGGTGTGTTTGACTGTTTGCAGTGGCGTGTGAGCACACACACACACTTTTGGACTTTTGGTGAATTGGTGATCCTATTCGAGTTGTGATATTTCTCGTAGTCTTCTGGTCGAGTAGTTAGGGCTGGCCTTGCGTTCCTCTTTGTCCAATGATTTAGAATAAGGAAGCGGGCAACAACCCCGCAGAATTTGCGGAGAAACCACCGGCCCTGCTGTTTACTGGTGTTTGACAACATCATGCCACATGAAGTTGATAGGAAGGAAACCAGGATCCCCTCGCACCTGGTAGTAAGAGGCAGGGCTTGATTTCTGTGGGACCTTGAGAAAATTCTCTGGATTTTCCGGCCTTGTTGATCTGACCAGCTTCAGCAAGAGACCGTCCTGGCATGGCTAGATCGAGATATCATCACAACCACGACTGTTGGCTGTTGGCAGCTGACGCCAATGGAAACACCAAGACAAGCACCAAAACATTACTGTATGTGCTACCCACTAAAAAAGAAAAAGGGAAAACTGCCGCGCGTCGAGATCTGGATTCAGTTTTTCTGGTCCTCCCCGTTGGATCTTTCTCTCCACGCCGCTGCCGGTACCGGATCCTGCCGCCGGGCAAAGCCCGTGGAGGCAGCCCACGGCGGCGGCGGCGCTCTGGGTGGTTCAACCACGGGGCCTTCCTCGGCAGCGACCCGAAGAGAGCGGTGGCGGGGGCAAGAAGCG